TTTTTGCGGTCGAGGGTAACTTCAATCCACAAAGCCTGGAATGCCTCACTTGAAATATTTTCTAGCACCATATAGTTTAAAGTGTCACTAATATGCATACCAACACCTCCAGATGCCAGAGGCGTTGGGACGTGCACAAAGTTAAAACCTTTAAGTTGCGGGATATTTTGTTCAGGATTAGCATACGAATTGTGGCTTCCTTAAGTCCCAGAACAGAAAACTGAAAATCTAATTCGTCAAAAATAGGTGTTTGTAGATTGTCAATACTTCGTCTAATGCTGCGTCTATTAGTATGAAAGATTGAAAATCCATGTTTAGATTGATCTTTATGTAAGCGTTTTTTGAATTCATTAAAACTAGGTGTATAGTATTTACATCGAATACAGTTATTTGGCTGGTTTATTTGATCGTTCGGATGAGTATTGAGGCTAAACAGATCAATTTCGTGAAAGCTACCTAATTTGTCTAAATAGGTTTTAGTAGGTAGGTTCGAAGGGAGGAGATTATTGAATTGACCATGTGAGCTTGGTATGTCATCGGGGGTTTCAACAAGTTCTGAAGTAGGTGGCTGACCCTATTAAAGTAGGCGGCTGTAACAGGGGGCCATAAGGTCCCTCCCCTTAGGGGGATGGGGGCATGCTCCCCCTTAAAATTCTGGAATCTAGAAGCCCGTAAATGCCATTTCCTGCAATCTAGCATCAATTTTAGTGCGAAATATTGATTGAGTAACCACAGCATTACGATTACCAGTTGCAGTCTTCTTGGCCAGCTTCCTTCTAGGCTTCTCCTTTAACCACTGTTTGACTGACTCCTTCACAACATCGGTGCTTTCCAATTCCTTTAGCTTTAAACCGTTAATTGAAATCTGCATCAGTGCCTCAAGCAGATCATCTTTTAATGTGCTTCTCATCCGCGTTTCAAATGGTATCAATTAGTTTACCTACCTGTTTCTGTTTCCGGACTGGATCTTTTATTAAAATATTCTGAAATACTGCTGCCTCCTGTTCGTTTGCGGCAGGGTTCCATCATCGAAGCACATGGACCGGAACTGGAGAGCGAGTGTGATCGAGGCAAGAATTGACACCAGCCCCTCTCCTGTCTGACTACGGAACTAAACCATTTCGCGTTCAATTCCTTAATACAAACGTGACCTTTCAGAAACATTCCAATTCAGCGACAGAAAAAATGGACACAACAGAGAAAATGTTTTCTTTTTATTCCATATTTCATAACTAACAAATGAGAAATTGTATGACTCAAGAAACTCAATGGACTCGAAAGAAATTTAATGGTAGAAAGTAGGCGGCGAAATTCGCCGGTTGCCCCTTCTATTGAAACCCCTGTGTCATATTCGGAATATGGAAGATCACGCAACAATAGCCTGTTATTTTTTTCCTTTACCTTTGTTTGTCTTTGCCTTCCCATCAGAGTAGAAAATCCATATTGATTTCAGTAGTCCACGCGCAAATTTATCCACGAGATCCTCGGGCAGACGTCATATTGTCTGGCAATAGAGCATTGAGATCGTTGATCCGGTTAAGCTTAATAATTCTCGACGTGTCGTTTTGGCGTAGGTAAATCGCAGAGTTTTTAGACCAACAGTCTTTGTAGTTATTGGCGGTCTTAAAGCGTTTGGCTTCGATCAGCAAATCTTGCAGCCGTGGAGTAAGATGGTCGTAGATGCCAATACGGTTGATCGAACCAGGCGTTAAGTCGAGATCGGTAGCAACCACATTGTTGGTCGCTCTTCTTTCTGACATTACGGACAAATTTACAGACAATAGGACTTGAACTTGATGTGCCGGCCTGAGCTAATTTTGCGGGAACCCGGTGTGCGATGTCGATATCCTCTATTGTGATGTCTGCTCCGATGGATGCGAATAGCTTCAAACAAATTTTGGTTGTGTCTTCGGAGGACTCCTTTTCTGCCACTTGTGGAATGCCAACTAGCTTTACGTTGTGTTGATAGCTATGCATCTCAAGAGAGTCAATAGCTTGAGAAATTCTATCAACTTGCGAAGAAATTTTGGGTTCTGTCCTGGTGTGCCGGTTCACAAGGGAATCACCATTGTTCTTTCTTTGTTTAGGAGTTATTGGTTAGCTATTGTGTATTGTTTGGTCTTTTGTATTGGCTCTTGTGAACCGGTACACGAGGACAGAACCAAATTTTGTCAAGGTTACCGGATAACCGTTTTAGTTGGTCTCATATCTTCTTTGTACCTGCCGCGAGGTCGTCATATTCGTCGCTTAAAAACTGGACTCCATGTTCTTGTTCTTCATTGTTTTGTATAGTTGATTTGATGGAAACTTTTAGCGACTATAGCTCTGATTCCATTCCTTTTAACTCTGATTTGAGATCATTTTTCTCTCTCCTTAGTGTTCTCACTGACATAATTAACTTATTAAGGTTAACTGCAACTCAAAGCCGAAGTAATTGTGGAGCCGATTTTTGTGCGTCCGACCTCCTCGAACGCACAAAATGGTAATGTAAGCTATAGATTTCATTCCACTCAAGATGATAATTTGTGAACACTTATACATATTTTGCCTGGGTAGTTGGCAAGGTTGTAATTGGCAAGGTTGTAACCTTTCATTGCAGTTCCTTGCAACAGTGCTTTTAATGGGAAACATTGCTAATGAAAATTTTGTTTTCCCAAAGATTAATTCCAATATAGCTGTTATGTAAGGACTTAAGCACTCTATGAAACATTGGAAGCACTTCCTTTAAGTAGATTAGAAGATCAACTTGGACTATTTTCATATCAAAATCGCCATAAAGAATGAATCTACCCCCAACAGGTTTCATATGATAGAAAGGAATAATTTCCAATTGCTTTGGTTATCGTCTGCAAATTTTTTACCGCACATGAAGTTTCTGTTTTGATCATTGAGTCTAGATGTGAAGCTTTGGTTCCCTTGGTTTTAATTTCACCAGCAAGTGACCACTGTTTGACTGTCTCCTTGTGATTTATTGACTTTGTTTGTGGTTTGGACTTAAGTACATGATGCGGAAGGAAGAGGTCAATCTCGAACCTTCAATTGACTATTCTCAAATTCAAGCTAATAAACTCCTCTTATCAAACTTAACTTGACAAGCCCTGGCATAAGTCATTCATGTAAATTTATTGCTTGATCATTCTCACACCCCCACTCTGTTTGTTTTTTTAATTATTGTGCTGCGCTACATATTTCGGAGTCAGTGTACTGGACCACTATGTTTTGTGTATTGTGTGTTGACAGGGCATGATCATTAGCGGACTGCATGAAGAACGGTAAACATTTTGTACTTTCGGTTCATCCAGATTTCTTGGGACCCCTTCGTATTTTTTGTCTTTAAGGAATATGTGTTTTCATTGATCCTGACTTTGTCTAGAGTGGGATTCAGTTGCATCTTCTTCAGTATGAAAATGTTTGGAAGCAGGACTGATCTACTTAATCTTGTGTGATCTGTTGATCATTAATAAATCTTAATGCTGAAAATTTGAGATTGTCGATAGGCTTTTTATGGAGTTTTGCTACTTGTGTCATTTCGGATGTGTCATTAATATCTTTGTTGTTGCCTAATACCTCCTCATTAGTTGCCCCATCTTGGAGTGAGTAGTTTGGCAGTTTTCCACACTTTTCAGAATTTGCTCAATCTCTTCTCTCAACTTTGTTATGCAAGGCACTTCGAATCCATCCTCCTATGAATAAATGGTTAATTTAAAACTCCTGCAATACCTTTTTAAATTAAAGGTGACTGTTTTTAGGGTAGGAGTTTGGAAGGGATTGTTTTAGATGCACAGTTGAAATCATTTATATTTCACCCTCCATTTTAACAATAGAAAATATGTTTTATGCCTAGGAAATTAAATGAATGAGATCCTTTTGTTTTCCCCCATACTTTGAATCTTAGAATAATTCACACTTGTGTTTATTTGAACAACTAGATGCATAGCTGCGTGAACTCGGGCTTTCAATATCGCACATCTGGAGTTATCTTTAGGGGACTGCCATATTGCCATTGTTACTGTCATCACACAATTTCGTCATTGCTGGTCACGAATAAGTCTATTTGTGTTTATTTTTGTCTGCTGGAATGTAATGAACATTGTTATGGTACTAGACAACAATCAAAATAATATATTACCATATAGGAGCAGGTTCCTACTGATGCCAAAGGTTGAAATGCAAAGGCTTTTCAATGGATTTGAAAGCCAAGTTTTAGAAAATTGAAGGACCACTTTTGGAAAGGTTTGCAGAATCAATTTTAAAATTATTTGATATTATTTCTCAGCTTCTCCATGAAAGTACCGTAATTTTCAACTTGAAAATTGCTTGAGAAAAAGCATTGCAAAAACTGATCAAGCCCTAGTCCTCAAATTCAGGTACCTTCAAGGCCTTGAATTTCTATTTTTAAATCCTGGCATCTTCAAGGTCTTTCAAGGCTTTTATGAACCCTGAGTAGGTAATGTATTTGCCTTTAACTGCAAGGAGAAGGGAATTTTTCATCTATTGTTGGGATCAAACTATGACCGAGTCATAGTTTGATGCCAAATGTTCACCCAAGGGGAGTTGTCAGAAATCAGTAGATTGAAGCAATATTACTGTTCAGTAGTTCATACTATTTTTAATAGAAAAGTCTCTGAAACCACTGGAACATTATATAGCTAGCGTGAGTGCTCTTGGTGGATAATGTGTTGCAATGAGTTTATGCTCTTTGATTTACAACAACAAACAAGGAATCAATTCCGCTAATGATCTCATGTCAATAATGAATATTGGAAATCAGTTGTATTCAAGTTTGTCTCAGTTAACCAGTCAATCATTTTTAATACAGACAGAACTACCCACAATTTTAAATGTGTTCGAGACTGGCTATGAACTTCAATACAGTGAAAGCTACACTGGTACTATTCATCTAGAAGCTACAATAGAAAGATATGAGTACTGTACCTCCTTAGAGTGAGCCTTTCCATCACTTATATCCAAAAATTTCAACAATTTTGTCTTGACAACAGGAGGTGGGCTTGTAAATATTCGATTCTGATGCAAGGGATATTTATAGTAGAAGCCATCCTCAAGGTACATGTGTGCTGCTTGAAGTACCATCACTAAATAGCTTAGTACATTCTTTTCAGAGATACATATTGATACATAATATATTAGAGTTGAAAGGGGTTAAAATTAATAAAGTTAAAAATATTACCCTTTTTCAGTGTCATGCCTGTGAAACCAGAAAGTTCAACGTGAGTTGTGCTGTGGCTGTCTCTTCACTTTGCTAATTCGTAATACAATCATGTAGTTAGTGGAATTCAAACACCTTATCTAACGCTTTATTCGGTATGGCAAAATATTATATGAAAATTCATCCTTAAACAAGTATTTAGCGTCAGATGATTTGCCAGAAACCGTTGATGTTTGTGGAACTGAAGTAAGTTTAGATCTTAAAAGTGATTACAGTGAAGGAAAACTGTCCCGAAAACCTTGGAAGAAATAATAGTGAATGTTTAGGGTTTTTGATAAAGACACATGTGTCTATTACAAGAAAACATTGATAAATACCGACTTGCTCTATACTTCAATTTAATTATCCGTTGATATACCCTCACGGAACGATTCAACAAATACTTCTTCTCATGTTGTGTAACTTTATTTAATCTTACCCTCTTCGTATTAAGCTTACAAACATTCTCTGTAACTCTTCTAGCCTTCACATAACGACGCAGCCAAGAGGAGTTCGGTAATGCTTAGACAAATACGCTCCTAAACGAATTACTTCAGCTTTCTGCCCTTTCTTCTAAGACGTTTCGGAGTAGCTTCTGGTATTGTACTGGATTCTCGATCACGTCTAAACACACGGTTGTGTTTACATGTAAACGTAATGTGAGATAGCTCGTTTGATACACGACCCCACAAGCGAAGTGTCGCTTTAAATACTTATCGTGTATAAATATTATTGATTGATTGATTGATTGATTGATACAGCAGGTTTCGCTTGATATTCCTCGATAGAAGGTTCACTCGTAAAGGATCGCTCGTAAATTGTTCTCGGGTAAAGTTCGCGGACCGACCCGTTCCCAAAACGCTCCACAAGTTTTAGTGTGGTTCTACCACGAACCGTGTGTGACTTTGTACGTATACTGAGCGTAACAGCCATCGAATTTCTTTCGCGTACATCAAGAAAGGAATTGTCCACGAAGGCAGCCATTGCTTTAAACCATGCGCTCTAGGTTTCATTCTAGGCATGCGCTTACACTTCACGCATGCGCTGTAGTGGAACTGCATTTTGTGACTGAACGTGAAAAAAACAAAAAAAACAAAACCAAGCAGAATTTATACCTCGGGCGTTTCCTTCGAAAAGCCCGAGGAATAATATTAGAGTGTCAATTTTTTGGTGTGTTTAGTTAGATCAGAGTGATTGGCATCTGTAACTGTATGAAAATAATCAAGTGGTTTTCACAACTTTGTTTTACCTCTGTGCTGTGAAGATTTTTATGCCCTAGTGGCAGTGAGCTCAAGTAGCTGGAAACAAAGAGTCCGCTTTACGAGGTACCAAGAGTTTTAGGACCAGTTGCCCTTGATGATTCAAAATGGATTGTGTTCAAACATACAGTGCAGGCCGCGTGCAAGATGGCGGATTTACGCGCGCATAAAATTGTACACGAACTATTACACGCGCTTAAAATTACACGCAGTTTGCGTGTAATTTGACACGCAGTTTTATCTTGACTTGGTGGTCTGGCAATGTGGAAATCTGGAAATAAGCAAATTTGTACATTTGCATATCTACTGTACATATTTCCACATTTCCAGACTACCAAGTTAACATGCATGTGAGCAAGAAAATGTTCACACATTTCAGTTTCAATAACCTGTGGACACGACTCCAAATCACCCTTTTTCACGTTTTTATTTCCTTAAGTGATGAATTTTATGTGCAGCACATTCCATTGTGATGACGTGTTTTGTGCTATTCTATCTCAAGTAAAAGTCGATTAAAGGAAATGAATATGCCTTCATAGATAACTTGAGCAACTTTACGTGACCGTTATCTTCACTGGTGGTATATTATTTTAGTATTTTTAGTGGTATTTTATTATGAATTTTGCATACTTTCTACAGTTTGAGTGTTACTTTGAAATGTGTACATATATTAGATTCTTTTGATTAAAGTTTGGTTTTTTTTTTAATTTTAAGTAGGACTTTCCTATAAATTATACCTGAGTTTTGAAGAAGCTCAGATTGTGAAAGAAGGGCAACTACTGTTATTGGTTGTAACTTTGTCCCCAGTTAGAGGGTGCGTAAGACTCACAAAACTACACCATTCTGGACTGTATAGGTGCTTCCTTCCAACGGAGTAGTGTTTAAACAACTATATATGAAAGTAGTTCACAAGGGGGCTAAATCTTGTGTCTCCTCGACGTTAATCACTCTAATAGTCAAACAGTTTTGTATTGCACAACAACGTTCTCATTTTTACATATACCCCCTAAGAAGCTTATTGGACAATTACATTTTTCCTGTTCCATTGCAAATGAAATATTCAATGGGTATGTTTTCAAACCCTGTAGATGGTACCTAAGTGTACACTAACATTTGGTGGCACATACAGGCACTGAGATTTGTGTTTCTTTTTTTTTTCTTTTTTTTTTTCTAGTTTGAAATACATCAGTGCAGAAGGGAAAGTTACTTTGCCTTCCATAACTTTTCCTAAATGTTTTAAAGATATGCAGGGTTTACCTTGGACTTTCCTGCAAAGCTTGATAGTCTTATCTCTCAATTAATCATGTGATTTCTTGTGATGATTTCTTTACATTTTAAGTACGAGTTTTTTTGAACAAGTTCTTTCAAGAAATCGATCACCAAATACGATGACCAGTGGTGAATAAAAAAATCATGAAACTGTTCGGGTGTCATGCACAGCATGAAACTACACCAAATCTATATTCAGCTATTAGATTTTATAGCTGAAATCTAGATGTACAATTCTTAACAAGCTAAAGCTATACTGGAGATGCTCCAGGAAACCTCCATTATAAAATATGACATGTAAGAAAGTACAATGATTTTCCTTGAAGTAGACATTTTCGCTGTTTGGAACAACAATGAACACCTCGCTAGTCACTTTATAGCAGAAGTGTAGAAAAATCATTGATATTGCGTTAACAGCGAACATCAAACAAGGCCTAGAAACTGGCCTTAAACATAACCGTGTTCGTGAACTAGGATAAGTCCCATCTGCGAGAAATAATGGCAGATGATATTTGACGTTGTTTCCATTCTTTCTTAACAAAGACAGTAGCTTTAAAGCATCCACCATGACGTGTTAGATTTTGATTTGTCGTCCGCCAATTTGAAAATCGGGAAAAAAGACTTATTTCGTAATACCTTCTCAAGTGGTATGTTTCTGGCGTTAATTAGGGTATGTATCTCGCGCCCATCGGATCGCAGCGCCCTCAGAATTTTCTACTATTCAATTTTTTTGTTAACATCTTGTACATTCTAAGAATTTTTTCATTCGATTGTTACGTCAGCAAATTGCACATTCTTTAAATTCTCTGTTTCGTCACGTTAGTAGTTGCCAATTTTTTCCCTTTTTTAGTAACCGTTTTGTTAGCAGGCCGCTTTCTCTTAAAATTCTCTAATTCGAATGTAACGTTAACAGATTGCTCACTCTTAAAGTATTTTCTCTTATATGATTGTCACGTTAGCAGTTCCCGCACTCGTTAGATTCCTTTAAATTGGATTGTTACGTTGGTAGCTCGCTACTCTTTCTCTTTTTATTAGATCGATACGACTCGCGCTTACTTAAAAATCTCCATTATTCGATTGTTATGTTGGGAGCTGGTACACTCCAAAAATTGTCCAGGGGTTTCACTGATAGCAGGTTAATTTTTTGCTATGGGAACATGCCCTCCTAATTTCCCCATTATTCCATTTGCTCGTCTTATTTTACTCCGTATTTTACTCGAACTTTTTGCGCAAGAACATCAATGAGGTGTCTTGTAGACGCTTTGATTTTAAGCGCCAACAGTGTATCTCTTCTCTTCATGGAAGCTGCAAAAGTATGTTAAATGCATTTCCTTTGCTTTTCTTCTTTGGCGGGGGTTCAGAAAAAAGTTGTGATAAGCCTTCTCGGCTGCTATGATTATGGACCCCCAAAAATAAATTTTCCAGTGGAGAGAGGGGGGAGGTAATACTCAAATCACAGTTTTCAGCGCATCAAGGACATAGAAGACAAATCAATTTTGTTTCTTGGAAGTTAGTTGAAATTAGTTTAAAACAATGAAAAATGGGTCAGCAGATAACACTCGAGGAGTCGTTCAACGAAGGAATGAAAATGACACTGGTGAATTCTTGGATTTTCTCTGTAAGACACAATTAGCACTAAGGGTAATTCTGCTGAAAACCAATGTTCCTGTGATTCCAATAAACATAATTATTAAAAACTAGATCATTGGATAATGCAATTCAAGACTTTTTATTGGCTTAGCCATTATGGTATATCAGCCAATATACCATAATCTACAAATATGGTAAGCGTACGTGTCAGCTTAAAATTAAAAGAGAGCTAAAAATTTAATAAAATTTAATAATTTAATTTAACGTTTTTAATAAAATAATTATCCCACTCGCATTTGTTGGATATGAGATGATTATAGCCAACACGGCGCTACGCGCCTCGTTGGCTATCTATCATCTCATATCCAACGCGCGCTCGTGGAATAATTGTTAATTAGACCATCATTGCCACGAGAGTCCTCCCCAATTGATCCGCCATATTTGACAGTCAGTCTGTCATATTTTCTAAGATGTAGAAAATCACTCTTTCCTTCACTACGCTTAGCCACGAGTGATAAGGACTTCGGAGCTGGGACAAAGCTGATCGAAATCTTCTGATTGTTGCGTATATCGTTACACTCCTGGTTAACAAGCCGAACCTAAGACGATGACGTCTGTAATATTAATTTCTGATAGCTTTATCACATCGGTGTTTGTAATAATCAACCATGTCTTTTTTTCATTTTTACACAGACGTGCAATGAACTCCAGGGACTGACTGATTCAAAGTCATACAGTTGCAGGATATGGAATTCAACAGTGAACAGCTTAATTACTTCAAGATCTGCTACATCGTTACCGATGTATTGACAGAGGCTCTACGAGTAACCTTTAAAAGGGAATGGGACCGTCGTTACAAGGCAACATTTGGAGAATGGAAAGATGACCCTAAGAGTGGAAGGGACCTTTGGAAAGGTGAATCCCCCCAAAAGAGGTTAAAATATGCTGATGAGCTCAGCACTATGATGAACGGTAATAGATGCGAATGGAATTGCTCCATGCTTTTCTACGGAATCCTCCACTCTGATTCTATGCAATGTCTCAGTCCAGCCGTCCGGTCGAATGTTAACAAACTGAAAGTGTTTCGCAATGAATTTTTTGTACATAAGACCCATGGCGTACTATCTGACAAAGACTTTAATCGCGTTATTGCCAAATTTTCTGCAGCATTTCGAGCACTTGGTCTTTCCACTTTGCCTATTCAAGAAATACAAGTTCAAAGGAGTTTCCCCTGCCAGGAGCTCAAGGAGGTTTTAAAAAAGGTGGACCTCCTGTCTCAGGAACTCCAGGAAAAAAACCTGAAGCTGCAGGTCCTTGAAGATCAGCTTAACAGCCTTATTCCCAGTTTTTGTTATCTTCCTCCCAGACCTGCACACGAAATCGTAGTTCGCGACTTTGAGGTGGCTGAAATCATCGGAAGTCTCAAGCAGCTCAAAAGCATTAATGCAAATAGATTAACCCATATGTACATGTCAGGTCCTCCCGGATGTGGTAAATCTATAGTGGCCGGACACATAGGAGAACGATTTTTCAACTCAGCCAAAGAGATTTCTCCTAATACTGCATTTGTAATGACCTTAAGTGCGGAAAGCCCGGAAAAATTTTTGATGTCTTATGTTTCGTTCGCTCGCATGGTTAAATGCCCTGAATATGCAATTACAAACACTTTCCTCTCCAAAGATTTATCCATTTCCGAAAAGATAACTACTCTTATGTCATTGATAAGCACAAAGATCACCCATTACTCATCATGGCTGCTGATCGTCGACAACATAACAAGTATGTCACATGTAGAAGTCCATTTCCCAGACCCTGGAAGTGAACAATGGGGAAGAGGCCAGTTACTTATAACAACACAGGATACTAATTGTATCCCCTCACTTCGCTACTTTACTCAGCATTTTTCATTAAGCAGGGGTATGAGCGTGAGCGATGCCCATCTTTTGTTGGCCAAGCTCTCTGGAATCTCGGACCCAAAGATGGAAAAAAAGGTGGCACAAGTATTAGACTTCAACCCTCTAGCCTTAGCCAGTGCTGCCGCCTATGTTAGGCATGTATCAGAAACTAAGGGGGATTCGAATTTTGGCTGGAACGAGTTGCTGAAGAGGCTAGAGCTAGGCCAATTGAATACTACTGTGACAGCTAGTCTAGGCTTTCAAAACGAGTTTGCAAGTTTATCAAGGGTGATTCAATTGGCCATGAAAGATGACAAAATTATCCGTCATACAGTTAGTCTCCTTGCCATGTGTGCCCCACGACCGCTAAATCTAGACGTCGTGATGAATTTCCTTCACAGCTTAAATGAGGAGTGTGGGAGAAAAGAGGATGTTGAGAGAAGGCTTGGAACATGCTCACTATGGTTACTTGTAAAAGGGAAGAATGGCATCAACATTCAGGTGTATCGGATAATCCATGACGTGCTGAAAACAGTTACCTTGAAGAACTTTCTTGAGGAAGAGATATGGGCCGTCTTTTGCGGAGCTGTGAGATCATTCAATCAGTTTATCGAGGATGGTGCAGCCAGCGATGATGAGGTTGTCCCCCACCTTGAGACTGTAATGAAAGCAACTGAAGATCGCTCTTGGCTTCCTCAAGGCGAAACAAAGGTGTTGTCAGATGTTCCAAGTGGATTTCTTACAAAACTCGGTGAAATTTGCCAGAGTCATGGGAAACTGTTGTTAGCCAAAAAGTACCTTCATTTGGCCAAAGAGCTGATTACTGACGACTTTGATCGAGCAAATACGACCCTTTTGATTGCACGTATAAACGCTGACTTGTGTGAATTCAGCAAGGCCCTCTCTCACTATGAAGATGCCTTACCAACCTTTCTGAACAAGCTTGGACCAGAGCATCTAGAAGTTGCAGCCCTTTACTATAGCTTGGGCTCTGTATACCACCAGTTGAATGGTTTGAGTCGGGCAAAAGAATTCTTTCAACAATCCCTGGACATTCGGTTGAAGAAACTTGGCCCTAACCACGTCGAAGTTGCAAGAAGTTATAACAATTTGGGTTCTGTACTTTGTGACTTGAATGATGTGGAACGTGCAAGAGACTACTTTGAACAGGCCCTGTCCATTTACTTGAAAGAATTAAGTCCAACGCATCTTGATGTTGCAACAACATATAGCAATTTAGGTCTCGTATTCCGTGCACAGAATGATTTGGAGGAAGCTGAGGAGTATCTCAAGCGTGCGTTCGAAATACGTTCACAGAACTTAGGACCTAACCATATTTGCGTTGCAACTTCCCTCAATGACCTCGGTGTTGTCTATTGTGAGCAAGGAAAATTACGGAAAGGCAAGGAACTGTATGATCGTGCGGTATCCATCTATCAGGGCGAGCTGGATACCAACCACCATTATGTTGCAACAGCTACCAGCAACTTAGGTTCTGTATTGAACAGTATGGGTGACCTGCAGAAGGCGAAAGAGCACTATGAACGTGCCCTCGAAGGGTTCTTTAAATCTTGGGGACCAGACCATGTTAGTTTTGCGAAGTCTTTGTGTGCAGTTGCCAAGGTTTCCTGTGAAATGGGAGACCTTTCCCAAGCCAAGTCTCTCTATGAGGAGTCCTTGAATATACTGCAGAAAACTGTGGGTCCTGAGAACGCTTATGTGGCAAATGCAATTAGCAGCCTGGCCTTTGTGCTCCGTGAGATTGGCGAATTCGAGAAGGCTAAAGAGCATTATGAACGAGCTCTACACATTTTATCTCAAAAGCGTGGATCTGGACATGTTGAAGTTGCAAGTATTCGCACTAGCTTAGGTCTTGTTCTACTTGACTTGGGTGACCTGCAAGGGGCGGAAATGCAGTACGAACTTGCTCTCGAAATTTATGAGAAAACGCTTGATCCTGAGCATCCTGGTATCGCTAATCTTTACAATAACATGGGCGTTTTATTCCGTACCAGTGGTAATTTCCTTAAATCAAAGAAGTTTCATGAAAAGGCTTTGATCATCCGTCGTAAAAGGCTAGGAGAGAAAAACGTGTGGGTTGCAACTTGCTACAATGACTTGGGCCTTGTACACCATGAACTAGGTGACCTAGCACAAGCCAAACTTCATCATGAGAAAGCACTTTCAATTTACCTTGAAACATTAAGACCAGACCATTTGTACGTTGCACATTCTTCCAGTAACCTAGGAGCTGTGCAAGGCAAGTTGGCGGAATGGAAGAAGGCCAAAGAGAATTATGAACGTGCACTAATTTCGTATCGCAAAACGCTGGGACCCAAACATGAATTTGTCGCTAAATGTTGCAGTGACCTTGCCTGTGCACACGAGAAGCTGGAAGATTATCGTCAAGCCAAGTATTATTTTGAAGAGGCGCTGATCATTGGCAAAAATTTACTGGCGACGAAGCACGTGCCAGAGCATGTTCATACCAAAGAGGAGTTTCCGTAACTTGGTACTTGTAAAGCGTATCCCTTTTCTTATGTTTCCTAAATTTGGCTGAAATTAAGCAGTGCATAGCTTTCCAATATTTTGTTGTTTGGCTCTCCAAAAGTCAAACAGAATCAAATGATACGCCTTGAGATAAAGCTGAGGTGTCCAGGTGTATATTCGGGGGATTAGTAGTTAACTCGGTTTCTTTAATCCTCTGGTACCAGCGCTTGCTGATAGATAATCGAAACGAAAGCTTGAAATAGTGACGACATTGGTGATTTGCACGTCAAATTGGATTACCAGGGGCTGAAAACGAAAACGGATTGCTGTCAAACTGTATACTTGTGCAAGGGCAGAGTGGAATTGGGAAAGCCTATTTTATCAAGAAACTGGCTTTGGATCGGGCTAAACATGACAAAAACTGTTGTTTTTTGATCTCATAAAAAGTATCCAAACACCAAAGCCCCAGAGATGTCCTAAGCGCCTCACTTATTTGCCGAAGAGGAAAAACCATGAAAGACGGCCTTCCACGTTACATCACCCAAAACCTAAACGAAGTTCTCGTGGTTTTTGATGATTTCAATGGGTATCGTTGAGCATGGAACTCAGAAACGTTTGAGATACCCAGAGGGAGTAAACTGAGGAACTGTTGTGTGCTGAATAACAACTCGAATTTCGAAAGCTTACGAGTTGAAAGAATTTCATTACGTGCATACTGAGATAACTGGTTTCAGCAAAGAGGACAGAAAGGCCCTTATGATCAGAATGCCTGGTAGCGAAACACAAGCAAAAGCGTTATGCATTCATCTTCTCTTCTCTTTGCACTTTGTCGAAAAAGAAAATTCCCAGAGGTCTCCTGACTCAAAATCAAAATTGTACATAGCGATCGTTTAGTACGTTTTGGATCATAATGAATGGAAATGTTTTTCTTCTAACTTTCGCAAAGTTGAATAATTCATAGAGACTCTGGCTGAAATAGGAAAGGTGTTATATCACCAACCAATGTGTCCCTGTTTGTGTTATATCACCCACCAATGGTTTAGAGAGTTGTTTTGTCCGGCGCCGAGAAAGCGTCTTCAAGGGTGCATGGTTATTGACCAGTCTATTAAATTTATTGTAAAACGTTGAGAATATTTTATCTCTGTATTGGCGATTATCTAGAGTGATGATGTTCCAATTGATTTGAGAGAGTTCATTATTGAAGTTTTCAGGTGAGAAATTAAGAGTCTCGCACTTTAGGAGAGGTAGATAAAACTCGACTAGTCGGGTGACGTGAAATACAGAACTGAGAAAAATGATCAGTTACATCGGAGACTATGTTGCCGCTTAAACAGAATTGTACGTGGTCATTTGTAAAAATATCAATAAGTGTGGCTGATTTGTTATGTACGCGGGTGGGCTTGTCAATAGTTGGTATGAAATGAAAGCTATATGCGGACATTAAAAATCTTTGGCTAATAGAAGATGACTGCGATTTTAGCAGGTCAATGTTGAAATCTCCCATTATAAAGACGGGCCTATCATGCAGTTATATTTTTCTACAGATTCATCAAAGTATGATCGAAAAGATTCTGGAGAATTGTGTTGTCTATAAAAAAATCCCACAAACAATATTCTTTTTGCGGTCGAGGGTAATTTCAATCCACAAAGCCTGGAATGCCTCACTTGAAATATTTTCTAGCACCATATAGTTTAAAAGTGTCACTAATATACATACCAACACCTCCAGATGCAGTTGGGACGTGCGCAAAGTTATAACCTTTAAGTTGCGGGATATTTTGATCAGGATTAGCATATGAAATTGTGGTTTCCGTAAGTCCCAGAACAGAAAACTGAAAATCTAATTCGTCAAAAATAGGTGTTTGTAGATTGTCAATATTTCGTCTAATGCTGCGTATATTAGTATGAAAGATTGAAAATCCATGTTTAGATTGATCTTTATGTAAGCGTTTTTTGAATTCATTAAAACTAGGTGTATAGTATTTACATCGAATACAGTTATTTGGCTGGTTTATTTGATCGTTCGGATGAGTATTGAGGCTAAACAGATCAATTTCGTGAAAGCTACCTAATTTGTCTAAATAGGTTTTAGTAGGTAGGTTCGAAGGGAGGAGATTATTGAATTGACCATGTGAGCTTGGTATGTCATCGGGGGTTTCAACAAGTTCTGAAGTAGGTGGCTGACCCTATTAAAGTAGGCGGCTGTAACAGGGGGCCATAAGGTCCCTCCCCTTAGGGGGATGGGGGCATGCTCCCCCTTAAAATTCTGGAATCTGGAAGCCCGTAAATGCCACTTCCTGCAATCTAGCATCAATTTTAGTGCGAAATATTGATTGAGTAACCACAGCATTAGCGACAACTGTACAATCAGCATCAACCATAGACTGATACAATACTTCATCGTGGAAATTTTTGATTACATACAGTATAAACAGCAACGAGAATCATTTGCTGATGCATAGCTGGAGTCTGGAAGTATTAACGAAATGAAATAGGAAAACAATGTTTATAAATAATATGGCGGTATATCTTGCTTCGTCGTTGTTTAGTCTATCAATCTATGGTCACCAGCATATTCCAATACTGATTTCCACATGTTACCACTACTTTTAAAAGCTACAAAGCATTGCTCGTTACTTACAAAAATTAACAAATGGTAAACACCACAGCGTACACTATTGAGTTATGGATGCACGCGGGAGGTTGCTATGCACGAAAGAAGCGTAAGAGTCGCTCGAGGCGATAGCCGAGAGCGACTCTAGCTTCTTCACAACATCGGTGCTTTCCAATTCCTTTAGCTTTAGCATTAATGGCTCTTATCGAAGTTGAGTACGCGAAATCAGCGGACTCTCGGTGAGCTTAGGCCAAACCGAGGCTATCGGGTCTAGCCCGCTGTAAAGTACAAGGAAATAGAGAGGGAATGTAGGAGGTAGTTTGACATTTAGATAATATTTGTCTACTTTTGAGAGTTGTTATCCATGGTGAAGCATTGTATAGCTTTTGGGTGTCAAAATCGAAGTTCCAAAGCGAAGTGCAAAGACTTATCATGGCATTTGCTCCCACTGTCAAACAGGAATTTGCTGGCAGAATGGCTCTTGAAACTGCGTCGAGAGAACACTCCGGTAAACAAAAACTCTTACGTGTCTAGTCAGCATTTTGAAGCCAGTTGCTTCATAAAACCACGGGGAGGACAAAGAATTCNGGATTTGAAATCTGGTTCAGATGGTATAGAAACTGATCATCTAGAAAGTGAAGGTTTAGTTCAAACTGGAGATGAAAACTGGGAACATCAACTTAAGTTAAAGGATGACGAAATGTCTTGTTTACTTGAGACATGGCAAACTAAAGAGCGCAAATTGAACAAAAAAATACAAGAGCTGGAAAACTTGAGGAGGAAAGAAGCGCCAGGAAGGAGCTGGAATTACTGATCGTGGAGAAAGCCTTCAGCATCGAAACTGTCAAGGATAATGATAAATTATTACGATTTTACACTGGATTTGAGAACTGAGGTGTTTTCAATGGTTCTTGACTTTCTGGGAAGGGAGACAGCGGCTCACTTGGACTACCAAAACACAGAAGATTTAGGAGAAATCAAGCACAAACATAAACCTGGGCCTAGTTGACCTGGCTTTGACTGTCGAGAATGAATTTTTTCTGGTCCTTTGTCGTTTAAAAGTTGGCTTACTAGAAGAAGACTTATCAGCTAGATTTGGAGTGTGCCAAGGTGTAGTATCCCAAATTGTTATTACCTGGATCAAGTTTATTTTCTTTAGGATTCAAAGAACTTGATGTATTTCCTTCCAGAGAGACTTCAATTACACCTACCTGAATGTTTTCGCAAAAAGTATTCAACAACTACTCTAATAATTGATGCTACAGAGATATATATTGAAAAGCCAAACAATCCAGAGGCTCAACGAGTAACATTTTCTTTATACAAAAATCGCAACACCCTTTTTTCGAATCATTGTTCCTTTCAGATGGACGTCTTGGATCATTCAAAGGTTTGACATTGTTTCTTTCTTCTCTTCTATAAATCTTTTTTGAGAAATCAATTTCATAAACTGACTGAGAGTCAAGCTTCCTCTTTCTCGCTATTCCAACTCTGCAGTCTTGAGGTACGTGTTTCAAATTCCCGTGTGCACTTAAGTCTCACAAATTCTTCAAGTGCATAACAAAGAGCTCCTATATGTTTACAAGAACCACGTGGACCTTTGCCAGCCAGCTGGCAAATGTAATGTTACCTTCATGTCCACCACTATTACACATTGAGAGCTTCACGTTATACTTCAAGTTTTTTTTCATTTCAGGTAAGCAGTCACATCGAATATGTACCTTCTCATCGTCGTCCCGAGCGATTTCCAGTTTTTGGATGTGACCATGTCGAAACAAACCGAAAGCTTTGCTGCTGACATTCTTGTAATCTTTGTTAGATTCATTGTCTTTAGCTTTTCTTTCAGTAAAGTAAGACACGATATTTTGAATATTAAATGAAGGGACATCGTCCTTCGCGTCAACCAATGAAACCCACTGTGCAAATTCAGGGAAATCACAATTGATGGTCGCCGTTTGGTCCTCTGGTTTACTTGCTGCCAATTGTTGCCACTTCTCCGTAAAATTATTCTCCCAACTATTTTTGATATAACTGATGACCCTGCGGCAAGTAAAACAAGTCGATATAAAACTCATGCTTCGAAATTTCCACTAAGCAATGGCAATAATTATAAGTGACAAAAACTAATGCAATCTTATAAATACCTTTGAGATAACTCAGCCTTCGTAGCTTCGGACCGCGCGGTACCATCTTTCGCCGTCCCTTTTGCGGAATGACAACCACTCTTTTAGTCTTTCTTTGGTAAGATTCCGTGGGCAACTACCACTAAGTAACTGTACTTTCTCCTCAGCGGAAAAGAAGGCTGCTTCTGGAAGACTTTTGGCAGAGAGCATAGCTTTTTTTTCACTTTCTCATACAATTGCAACCAAGTCTGATCAATGTAGACCCGATAGCCTCGCTTTGATGTTTGCTCACAGAAATACCGCTGGATCGTTTGGATGGCGTACTCAACTTCGATAAGAGCCATTGAAATCTGCATTAGTGCCTCAAGAATATCATCTTTTAATGTGCTTCTCATCCGTGTTTCAAATTGTATCAATTAGTTTACATACCTGTTTCTGTTTCCGGTCTCTATCTTTTATTAAAATATGCTAAAATACTGCTGCCTCCCGTTCGTTTACAGAAGGGTTCCATCGTCGAAGCACATGGACCGGAACTGGAGAGCGAGTGTGATCGAGGCAAGAATTGATACCTGCCCCTCTCCTCTGTCTGACTACGCAACTGAACCATTTCGCGTTCAATTCCTTAATACAACTGACCTTTCAGAAATATTCCAATTCAGCGACAGAAAAAAATGGACACAACAAATAAAACATTTTCTTTTTATTTCATATTTCATAACTAACAGGTCAGAAACTGTATGACTCAAGAGACTCAAGGGACTCAAAAGAAATTTAATGATAGAAAGTAGGCGGCGATGATTTGGGAAGTAGGCGGCGAAATTCGCCGGTTGCCGGCTTTTATTAAACCCCTTGGAAACAAGCACTGCCTCAGGTTAATCTTCATTACTTTTGACACCAGGCTCATTCTATAAGTGAGGAGTAGACATGACAACTGACGGAAAGAATGATTGATTAGGGTTATGTGACTTGTGCTGCTCGTCCCAGCACCACGCAATAATACATTTTCTGAGCAAAGAACTTGAACATTTCACAGTGAAAGTTTAAAGAACTGTTTGTGGAGTTCCTTGCGTGAATAATTTTGTGGTTTTTGTCAAATTTTGGTTGACATACACGAACTTATAAGCTTTTGCTAAAGCACTAGCTGTGCACGTTCTTTTTACACCATGATATTGTTGACTTTACATTTGCTTTAGACTGTGATGAAGTTTACAGCCTTTATCTTATCACTTTTAAGTTTACTGCCTCTTTGCATTGTTTTATCGTATCATGACTGAAGCCTCTAGATAGTCCTCTAAGGCATTGTGTTGTTGATCATTAAATGCATTATTCAGAAGGCTGAAGACTCTCTCTGCGGGTGCTGAACTTGGTTGAATAAGTAACAACTTCTTCCCTAGACTTGCCCAATGTGGAAGTCTGTCACTGATGGCTGCCCAACATGCAAGTTTCTCTTCCTCATCTTCCATGACAACATCGTCACTTCGTTGACTTGAATTTTGCGTTTTCTGGAAATTGAAGCGCTTGCAGGTTTATTAAGAGTTGCCCCAGCGTCTACGGCAACCTCGATGGGGTCAATGTCTGAATTATTTCCATTTTCGTCGTCTGAAATTTCATCTGATTGCGATGCCATGATAATGACTCTCAGCAAATACCAAGATGGCCGGCGGCAGGCTCTATGTTGCAGCGAATAACCGCCGGATTTAAGCACCCGTTAGATAAATAGCCGCTGTCCAGATTTCGTGGGCGTAATGCAAGTGTTATTTTATTGTCATTTTACTGTATATCCTTAGTTTTAATAAAATCAGTTTTGATAAAACCAGTTTCAATAAAATCCTTCGAAATGAAACGACCTTTTATGGTTTGGATCGGTTTTTTATCAATTTGTTGCTTAAAAGTTGCCAAGGAAGGCAAAAGTTGCCCTAAGTCGCTGGTACTACAAAGAGTTGCTCAAACGCTAAAAGTTGCTCAAAAGTTGCCGTGCACAATCTATTTATTCCTACCATCTTGAATTGCGCCATCTTTCCTGTGACGTCACGGGTGGAACCTTCCGGTACTGGAGGTCAAAAGCGCATGAGATACCTTTGTCTCCTTCACATCCCTTGTTTGCCGGCCTCGTCACGATTGTTTTACTTACAATTTGGTTGAATATATTCAATTTTTTTATAATGGTAAAGCGTTGTGTTGTCCAGTTTTGCAGTAATTCAAACAAACCCGGGCACACAATGCATAAATTTCCAAAAGAACCATG